GTTGGTTCTGTGTGCCAAACTAGATTTTTATCTCCCCCCGGCTTGCGGAGGAGGCCTGCTTTATTAGCAGTGGAGAAGCAGTTTTTCTTTCTTTCCTATGCCCATCGATTTTCGCACCGAAACGAACGGACCAACATTCCGCCTGCAATTATTTGTCCAGAAGATAAACTTTTTCTATATCCAATTAGTTCGATCCAAATCAAGACGATTTTGTGTAGCTCCTACAAATTATCTTCGCGAAAATAAATTGTTTTGATATTCGGATCACACGAACCGCTGCCTTTAAAACCAATTTGGCGACTCGATAAGAGCAGGCAAACAAGTATTTTGCCATCTGCCGCCGCTTCCAATAGGACGGAGAAAGGAACGTGTGTGCAATCACGACGAGAAGGCGCGAGGCTCTTTTGAATAACAAGTCGGCGCCATCGCTGCTCAAGCCGACTTTTTATTTTCATGTGGCTCTATCGCGAGGCAGGGATATTTGTTGTCTCATTTTGGGCGCTAAAAATGCGAGGAACGTTTGCGAATTGCGCAGCTTGGGCGGAAATTTCGTCCGCAAAAAAAGTCACGTCTTTATATGTGATAAACACGCTGAACAAATTAGAAGAGGGCGTGGGATTTTATTGTAAAACTATGATATAAAAATAATGATTTATTCATATATGACGCTTGAAAAAGTTTATTTATTTATTATTTTCTAAATTGAGAGTCAGAAATTAAATAATCCTTGGACAGTTTCTACTGCAACTAAAATTTTATTTGTATAAATTAATGTTTTTAAAACTAAATGCTTAAATTTAATAAATCAAATCACAATCTTTTGAACAGTAATCTAAATGAATTTTTTTCATATTTTTAGTATTTTTACTTAAACCATTAATGGTGAAAGAAGGATATTTTGCAACGGATGTTCTTCTTTAAAGTTGCATTTCATTTTTATCTGCAAGCGCAAAGGCCAAAAATTTCCCAGTTAATTACATTCCTCCACTCCAGGGGAAGAGAAAAATAAACAGGAAAAGAGCCGACAAACGCCATCAAAGCACTTTTGATGGCGCCACTCGCTGCAGCAGGTATATGCACAATTAATAATTACTTCCGCTCCCGCGCTGCTAATATTTATTCACGAGAGTGCTTTCTCCTTATCCGACAAAAGAATGGAGAGAATCTCACTCTATTTACTCCTCGGCGCTCGGCAGTTTTGTTTTAAAACAGGTAGGCTTTTTGCACAGCATTAATGTCGTGCAGTTTGCATACCCCCGACTCTCTAATGCAAAAGTAACGACCTCATTTGCAGTGAAAGCTCACTCGGTGTAATTCCCGTTTTGAGGCGAAGTTCTCATCTCATAATATTAGGGTCGAAGTACGAAAGATGAACGCAAAAAAATCTGTCATTTGCCTGGGTAGGATTATTTCAAAATCCAATTACTGGCAGTCTTTACCGAGCAAACTCGATTAATCATTGAGTGGAAGAAGAGGAAAGCAATTACCTCCTTTTTTACATTCGTCACTAGAGCAAACAACATTATTGAAAGCGGCGAATTATTACGAACGGCGGGTGATAAAAAATTGGAGCTAATGGCAAAAAAGCGGCTCCACTTTGTTTATTTAAGAAAAGTTTGCCCGCCACTGAAAAAAGCCGGCGATGAAAGTATATTATATGTATCCGTTTCTCTCTCTGGCTCCTTTTTTCAACCACTCGTTTCCTTTTCACGAGACAAGATGATGAGTTGCCGGCCGCACAATTAGTTGTGCCGCAAAACATTCGGACACGCTTCCTTTTCCGCCGGATTTTGCAGCTCTCTTAAAAAATAACGAGCTGCTTTCGCGAATTCATCTTTGGACGCGTCGCTGGTGAATGGGCATTTTTCGCCTAATGAGAGTTTTCGGGCAGACGCTCGTCAACCTGCTAATTGCTCTCCAGATTCGCTTGGGAATTATTTCTACTTTTCTTTCTCTGTCACTTCCATACTCTCCAGACAGCTCGAGAGGAAAAGTTTAATGTTTTTTCCAGTATCGTCGGCGAACTACTTCTTTTATCAATCGGACTTTTTGCAGCCGATGCCTCTTTCCTCTTATTAATTAGAGATGGAGTATAAAGTTGGAAAATTGCCAGCTAGGGAAATTTGTGCATTTTTTTCCATTAAACGCCGCCAGACTTTTCCAATCTCACGGATGGCTTAAGAGCCTGTTTGATATTCATATCTGGAAAGGGCAGAGTTGCAATGAAAAAACCAGATTTTTTTATCTTTGAAAGTTCTTTTCAAAACCTATTCTATATTTTTTGTAGACAGACCAAAACTGAATTCCCTTCTCCGAGCAATCTTGTCAGCTTTGGCCGAAAACCTCGTTTGTTACACCCAAAATTACCCCCAGCTCGCTGCCCATGCAATTTCTTTTTAATTAATTTCAACATGGCGCGGCGGGTGCGTATAATATGAATGTACACCCACCAGCAGAGCAGTATCATAACAATAATAATTCGAGCTGCCGGCAATTCGCCCGACTCGGCACGCATTTCGTTGGCTGGCGCGAGAGAGAAAGTGGCTCCGGGCCGAAGAAGTGTCACGTGTGACAGATTGCGCTGCAGAAAACTAACCCCACGCCGCTCAAGTTCCGCCGCCCGCCCGTCCGCTCTTTATTAAGCAATACTCTACCACCGGCTGGATGCGAACAACTACTACAACTGCCACTCACAGCTGAACGAAAATAAAAGAGAAAATAGAGGCGAAACTTGATGGAGAATGCAAAACACCAGGAATAAGAAATTAAATTTTGCTCCGTAGAACCAGACCACACACCATACTGAAATTGTTTTGGATAATTTATTCTATAATTAATACTCTTCAGCTCCAAATTTGTGTTATCAAAATTCATTTACGGGAGCTCATTACCCATAAAACAAAGAAAGTAGCCATAAACAATGTGACAAATGCAATTTATAATATTTAATTTATGGATAATTTTTTGGGCAGAGAATTCCCAGTGAGACATTAACACGCAATTTGCAACTATACTAGAGCATATGGAGGACGAAATTAACTGATAATTATTACATTTAGTCGTTGTAGAAAATCCATGAAATCTATATTTTAATTTTTTGAAATGATTTCTAAACTTTATAGGAAAAAAGTGGTATGATATTGCATAAATTTATAAGAATCAGCACATTTGACTGACAATTAATGAAAATATTATTTATTTAGAATAATACACATTAATTTTTATTTAATAAGACGAAATAGTATAATTTAATTTTTTTTATTTATATTAAAATGCCTTAAACAATTTTAATTTGTATAATTTTAAATTTCACACAGTAGAATTTAAATTTTAATTCAATTATTTTATCTTTTGACCTTTGGCGTTAAAAACTTCTAAATCAACCCTTTCTAACCCCTAAAAAACAATTCGGGAGGAGCAACTTACTTCTCAATAGCAGACAAGTGCATTCGCGCAGAAGTCGGAAATAAACCACTTACTTACTTAGGTCTTTTAATGAGCAAACTGGCGACGAACGGCGGAGGAGGAGTCGGACGATAAAACTGCCGAGAATATACAACAATACAAAACTTTCGGTCGACTGTGTTTCTCTGTCTCTGTGTGCACGAATGTAACAAAATATGGGACGAGTGTGTAAAAAGCAGTGCTGCCGAGCGTAATGGAGAGAACTTTGTTTCAGTCCAGGCTTATGCCATTTCATACCCTTTCATAAAACACACGCGACGACGGATGAGAGCAGAGCAAATAAAATATGAAAGGGATGACATCCGAAGTTGGAGCGCCGGATTTAATTAAACGAAAAATCTTGCTGGCGCCGCTCTTGTCTTGATTTAATTCGCGAACGTCGCTTTTTCAATATCCCCCGGCCGTCGAGCTCCATTTGAATAATCTTTTCGGCCGGACGAGCGAACGAGCCGAGTCAAATGCCCTCGCGCCTTTTCGCTTTGACGAATGTTTCATTCTGTGTGTCAGCGCCACTTTCATCGGATTTGTTGCAAATTTCAGCCTCAAGGGACCGGAGCGCTTGAAAGGACCAAAATTGCTAAAATTCAAAGCACTGCAAAGGCTGATTTTTTGTTCAATGCGGACGTCAAATATTTTTAAAAGTGTATAAAAAGTTGAATCCTTTCCGGGAAACACTTTCATGGGCTAAAAACGGACAGCAAATCTCCATTCACTATTTCGATTTGAATCATCTGTTTGCTTTATAAAAATTCAGTCTACACAGTAAAAAGCAAGCAATGCTAATGTTTTCTTTCTCTCTTGTTTTAAAATTTTCGTTTTTTGTCATTTATTTGGATGAGTTCATGTATGGGGCATGGTTGCCCTAAATTCGTACCCAATAAACATTTTCTTGAAACTTAAAAAAATTTAAAAGCTTAGAAAATTTTCCAATTTCGCTTTAATTTTATTGTTTCTTAATTTAAAAATAATTGCATGTTTTTAATTGTGTTGATATAAGAAGAAATGTAAAATATGAAAATTGATTAAAATTAATTATTGATAAATATTAATATTAATTAAATTTCGATCATCTTCGGCCTGTTTAGGAATAAAAGCCACGCAATAACCGTAAGTTGCTTCCCGCAAGGAAAACCGCAAGTCGAGAGGGAAATATCGGCGGCTTCCCTCCTTTGCTTTCTTTTCTTTTCCGCTCGTTTCTTGCCTCTCTCAAGAGGATTTTTTGTTATCTCAACGAAAACAGGCCGTGCGCGAAATAAAAAGAAGCTCGTCCGCTTCTTCTTCTTTTACTTTTCTCATCCCGTCCGTTTATGTATATTTCGCTGGCGATACACGCCCTGTAATGGACGTCAATCACAGATTACCCCCCAAAAACACACTCATGCATAAGAAAGGAGCAGCCTGGCGGAGATTCTCCTCTTTTTTTAATTAATCACGAACTGCAAACTTTTCCAATCAGCTCCTTCGAGGGTGAGCGAGCAAGAGAGATTAATGGTTCGGGCCAGGCTGCTGCCGAAAGAAATCAGGGCTGTACTCACCGGAGTTGGGCTGTCCGTTGCTGTTGGGCCGGGCCGAGGGGGCGCCGTCGCGCGCCTCCACCTCCAGGGCGTAGGCACCCTGCTTTTCTCTGTCGAACACCACTTTGGTGAAGATCTCGCCGGTCTGCATGTTGATCTCAAAGTGCTCCTTGCCCTCATTGCGTGACGATTCAACCACAAAGTAGTAGACCTAAACGGACAAAGAGATGTTTGAATTTGAAAGTTTAAAAAAAAAGTGAGGGTGGATTTAGAAAAAAAGTAATCATCCTGCAATTAAACCATGTAAACTGTGGTGAATTTGTGAATAAAACAGGTGAAATCTGGAAAGATTAATTTTTTGTTGTTTCAAACTGAAGATGATATAAAAATTAAGTGAATCCCAATATCTCAAACGTTGAGAGCAATGACTTTTTTATACTTTATAAAAATTAGTATTTGTGTTTGATAAAGACAATAAAAAATTAGTATTACTAATGCTATCATCTTTCAAAATGTTAGCAACAGTTTCCTGCAATTGTGCTCCGCATATATGTAGTAAATAAAATTTCTAATTATTCTCCATGCATCTAGTGTACCTATTAATTATGTATATCAATACATTCATTATATAAAGACATTTCATCTATGTTGTTTTTTTTATTATTTATTAAATATTAAAAGCAAAAATGGTAAAAATGTTTTTGTACGAAATAATTAGAATATTATGTACATATTTGTTTTAACACGCAATCACTAATATAATATAATAAAAAAATCCATCTATTAAAATAAAATATAATAATAAATAAAAATATATCTATGATACAAATATTTAAAATTAAAATAATATAATAAAAATGTTATAACTGTTTATTTGCTTGTCTTTAGATGATTCATTTTGTTCATGTCACCTTACATAATTTTTAGCCCCAAAATAAAATTTTCTGCGTTTGATTTTTGTTTTTTACAAATTAGACAGAATTTATTTGGGCTCACCTGGTTGTTAGGGAAGGTTCCGTCCTTGTCGATGGCGTTGATTTGGGTCACCTTGGTGCCAATTGGTTCGCCCTCGAGAACGGTTTCCTGCTCTCGCTCGGTGAACAATGGGATTTCGTCGTTCACGTCCTCCAGCATGATGTACACAGTGGCTTCAGAAGCCAACTGCTGCGCGCCGTTGTTCTGCAAAAATAGGGACGAGGTGAAGAAAGAGGCAAAAAAGGTGTATAATGCTTTTATGCCCTACCTCAACTCGAATGGTGAGGTTGTACTCCTTGAAGGTTTCATAGTCTAGCGGGTGATTTACTTTTATATCGGCCCACGTAAAACCATTATCAGAACGCTGTTGCAGGTAGAACGTGTGGAATTTATTGGTCTGCGCCGTCGAACCGGGCATGAGCCGGTAGAAAACGGTCGGATTGTTTTCAATGCCGGAGCTGCAAGGGTTGCGGGAGGAGAATTAATTCGAGTACTTCAATCGTAGCCAGAGGAAAATGGGTTAAAATAAAAAGAGGAGGACAATCAAACTCAATTTATGACCTGACTAATGGATTAATTAATTAATAGCAAAAAAATAATAAAAATGTAAATTTCGCCTGATTTTACACATCAGAGAGATTCTGAAGCTCTCCTGAGGCTGATTGATTGATTAATGCGGGGTTAATTATGTAATCAAAACTAACTCAATCAATGGAATATAAAAACTCACACCTCGCGCTTGTTTTTTAGACGAAAAACAAGAAAGCTACCAAAGGCTACGTAATATACATGCCACAAAAATCAAAATATGTTCTCGAACGACGTCGAAAAACAATGAAAAAATGTACAAAAATGGTTGCTGCTGCTTTATTTTTCAGTGTGTCTCTTTCACCAAAAAATGCAAAGCGATGGTTGATTACTTTGTCTGGGTATATAACTTTTTCTCATATGTATGGATCGGATATGGTTCGAGGGCTGGGAATATGTATAAATATATAAAGTTGGGGCAAAAACAACAAACGAAAAATACAACCTCCCGGTCATAGATGGGGAGGCTTTGCGTGCATGCGAAATTCAACATTGTTTGTCGAAATGAATAAAAAATAAAGTGAGTGAGGGGGTGAGTTCATGCGCGTCCGCAGCGTTGTGTAACACAGACAGAGAGCAGCTCCAGCAGCCATAGATATAAATCTTCCCTGCTTGTAACATATATATCTGCATTTGTGTGGAAAAACAAAAAAGTGCGTGGCGGAAAATATACATTTATAAAACACAGAAATTAAAACGAAAAAATATTAGTTGCAAATTCAGCAAGCATTAGGATTAATAAAAAACAACATGCCTTAAAAATTGCAGCGAATTTCTGCCGATTTTTTTTCTCTTTGTCTCAAAAGGCACGAAATTTGCTGCTGTTATAAAGTAAAGGTTAGAAAATATACAAATTAAAATGAACGCGTGCGTCTGTACAGCAGCGTGGGGCTGAAATACAAGTCCCTTCAGTTGCCGCACAAGCGTGAAAAATAACAAAACTTTATATGCACACATTTATTTTTATCTGACAAGCATGACCAAACAAATTAATCAATGAATTTATTGCCAACGTGCTGGGCGAGTGGAAAATGACAAAAAAAAAATATATGTAAAAAAAATTTATGCACACGTGACATGGGCAAACGACAAAAATTTAACTTTGGTGTTATTTTGGTGCAGCAGATTTTGCAGCTATCAGGGTTTGAATCTTTCAAAAAGGTGCACTTGTGCCAGACAGTGACTTCAAATTTGGTCATGCATTTAAAAAAGAAAAAATGGGCAAAAAATGTCGATTTTAAAATTAAATTTCGAAGTTATTAAAAATTATTATGGAACAATCGACATTTTTGCAACCCATTAATACCAACAAAAAACCTTATTCCAAAAAGAATAAGCTCTTCCGAGGAAACTTTCAGGCAAAGAATAAAATTAAAAAATTAAACTGGAACACTTTCTCTATTTTCTACCTAAATTACCCGGAAAGTTTCCTCGGACGAAACGAAAATGGAAAAAATGTGAGGCGGCCTGCCATAAGTATGGAAGGCCCATTGCAGAAATCGTCAAACGAAAATAAAATGCAGGGGTCGAAAAACGAGGGATTTCTCCTCGCAGAGGATGGGGTTGATTTTTTTTTCGTCAAATGCTGTGTGGACCGACCTGGCTTTTACGGAAACAACTTTGGCCCCGACGGCCGTGTCCTCTTTTATGTAGATGGGCCCGTAGACCACATGGTCCCAGACAGGAGGGTTATTGGCGCGATCGACGACGTCGACCTGTACCTCAACGGTCCTCGATAGGGGCGGATAGCCCCTATCTTGAGCCATAGCCTCTAACTTGTAAGTCTCGCGCTACACGGCCGGAAAAAAGGCCCGAAAAAAGGCGATGAAAAATTATTGGCATCAGACATATCAATCTGGTAGTAGAAGAAAGTGTGTTGTGTGTCAAGTGTGGTGTGTTAAATATATGCGGTGGCATCAAAAATCAGCAAGTTGCACACTCAAAAATTCTCTGCACATATAGAAGAAAAAAATCAGTAAGTCGACGTGTGGTTCGTGTTATTTGTGGCGGAAAAATTCTCAAATGTATATCAGCAGCAGCTTCAAAAATTCTGCAAAAACGTCGAGAGACCTGCAAAAATGGCAGAGACGTCGATCGGTAGGGCGGCCGGAAAAATGAGAGCATGGTTAAAATTAATAATCAACAATACAAATTAATTCGAGCTAAACTGGCGTCGGCGACGGTCTACGCACTTTCTATCGACAAAGCACCTGGCGCTACAAAGTCGAGCATACATACATAATTTTTTTGGGGGATTTATTTTTCCCGATTCGGACGAGAGGGGGTTCGTTTTTTTCTCTTCACCTCACTTTGGTTACAAACCTTGCTTTTATGGTGGTTACAACCGTCCCGACAGTGACATTCTCTCGGATGTGTATGGGGCCATACATATTGAGATCCCAGATGGGAGGCTTATTGTTCCTGTCGACTACGTCTAATTCGACGTCCACGTCGGCGCTCGACGGCGGTTCTCCTTTGTCAGAGGCGCGCACCCGCAGCCGGTACCTATCGCGCTGCATCACAATCAACGCCAGGGTGTTCAGAATTAGAATCACTTGTCTCGCTTGCGTGGGACAGGACCATCCACAAGGAGGTTAAATCAAATCAAAAAATTCAATGCTCAAAAATTAAATTGATATTAAATGGATAAAAATTAAAATCAAAATCACACTTTGATTAATGTGAAAACGTTACTCTTATTAAAACTACTTTTTTAATTTCTAATTTTTTAATTTTGAAAATTCGTTAAACCAAATGATACGTTTTGTTGCTCTTTTTGGTTTACTTACTGGATAACATCCCTGTTTTTGGTTCAAATCCAAAAATTCAATCACGAGTTTTTGGATTTTTGGCAATTTTTGGTAGAAGTAGTAGTAGTAGAGTTTGGAGAAGATTTTAAATGTAAAATTGGGTGCGCAACAAATGGAACAGAAGACAGAAAGAAACCATAAGTAATTAATCAACTTTTAAGTCTGTACACGAGAAATAAATCAAACACAAGAAAATTAAGGTGAGTTTTCTAATATCAAAATGATAACTTCAATAGGGCAGGCATCCTCTAAATATAATAAAAATACTATGAAGTGTGGATTAATAATTATATCAACCTTGATCGACTTTTTTTTAAATATGCCAGGCAGCTAAACTGGATTAGTCTAGGAAGGAGAACGAAATTAAGAATTAAATAAGATTCATGCTGGAAATCTGAAATCAATTAAATAAAATGTGCAGGCAGATAAATAAAATTAAGAAAAGCTACCAGTTATTTTCTATTCTAACAACTCAACAGAAATCAGTGCATTGGTCCTGAGGATAGGTATGGGCTTCAGCTACAGATAGGATTTTGCGGAGATGTCGATTTTGTATGAGAAAAAACTTGATTCAAAGGACAAATTTTGAGAGACATCTCCGATTACAGGTTTTTAGGAAGAGGCGATTTGTGCAGAGGGGAGGGAGATTCCATCTAATCTGACAAATATAGTATCCCGTTTAATTATTTTTTTTCTGTGTCAAAAACTGTTCTGATATGGCCCATACACAGTTGCAAAAAATGTCACATCAGGGCAGTTAGTAAAAATAGTCCAAAAAATTGTACTGCGTGTGTGAAGGTGTGTCCGTTACTCTCTGTGAAAATCACATCACTTTCCCACAGAGAGTTCTGCAAAAAGTAGAGATAGGTACGGTTGTTGTCCAAAAATGTACCATCACCCCCGACAAAATGCAATTACAGAAGTTTCCGCGCATCTGTAGAAATATTTTCGTATGAAAGACGGTCTCTTCGAAAGTGCCGAAAAAATTGACTGTCAAAAAATAATTTAGATATTGTATATATTTTGAATATTTTCCAGAGAAGGATTTTTCATAATTTTAAAAATATTTCCGCAGATGGCGGCAAAAATGCCAAAATTGGGAACTGTTGTATAAATAGAGAGAAAAAACAGCGTCAAAAAGTGTCCAAGTGTTAGAGAGACAGGCGCTAAAAAGCGATCAGCTCCTTTTCAGAGGCACAGGCTAGAGGGGCAAAAACGGGGCCATCTCTGTGAAACTGCGCCAAAAGAGAAAAGAGGCAAGTTATTGAGATCAGTATCAATAAATACGGTTGGTTAATGCTACGAGAAAATATATTGGGGGATGATGATAGAAAAGGCTCCTGCAAAAATCTCAGCAAAAATATACACCTTCCTCTCTCAAGAGACAAAAAGCTGCCGAAGGTGAGAAAAATGGCCGTCACCAGGGTTGCCAAAAGGGTGTCAAGACAAAAAATGTTTGTTTGATGCAGGAGGGAGAGAGGAAGGCGACAAAAATACACCCCGCTCCCAAGTCTATTCATCCAAGGATTAGAGAGAGATAAGTGCACATGAAAAATATAAAGTAGTGCACCTCCCTTCCTGGTTTGTGACTTTTTTTTCTAAAAATTAATTCGTTTTTAAACAATATATTTTTGTACAAACATTATTGAACATACACAAACCAAAAAAGGAGTGCAGGGGAGAGCAGAGAAAGAAACCCATATGAGTGAAGAATAATTGTGATTGAAAAATGTGGCACCCTAGATTGCCTATAGGTGCCTGCTGTGCTGTTTGACCAAAAACTAAATGAAACAAACATAGATCTGAATCAAGTAGTGCAATAGGGATGTGCAATTTCCATAAAATTTGTCCCATCTGGGAGCCGAGCTGATCGGCTCCGAAATGAGAAGAGCGACAAAATAAATAGTCATCTGTGCATTTGTGGTGGTTGTTTGGTGGTGTTTAAGATTGGTAAAAAAAAGTTGCAAAACTTACGTCGAGCGGCTTCTTTAGGACAATCCAGCCTGACTCAGGCTGGATTTCAAAATACTCCAGGTCTGCAGGGTTGTACGGAGCACTCAGACTGTAAACAATGGCCCCATTGTTGTCTGCGTCCTCATCAGAGGCAGACACTCTGAGAATGTTGGTGCCAATGCTTGCGTCTTGTTTCACATTTTCAACATATTTCTGAAAATAAAATTTTGCGTTAGGTCAGAAATTAAAAATTGTAAAGAATTTAATCCGTTTCAAATTTGATTTTTTGTACAAAAATGTTACCTGACGATCAAACAGAGGTGGGTTGTCGTTGACATCAGTGATTTCAACGGTGAAACTGCAGACACCCTCGAGAGAAGGTTCACCCTGATCTGTGGCCTTGACAGTGACGGACACAAATTTGCCATCGTCACCTTCACGATCAAATACCTGCAATTTTAAAAGGTTAGATGCTGAAGATGAAATATGAATTTGTCTTTGATTTTGCCTTGTTTGTTGAAACTTGACCAGTTTCTTCGTCAACAGTGAACTTTGTGCCCTTCTGATTGGGCTGCTGCACAATGGAGTACTTGACCTGGCCATTCACACCTTTGTCTTCATCAGTGGCATGGACCTGATAAAGAATTACAAAATTAGGTACCTGATTAGCGCATGTTTCTTTGTTCAGAATTAGTATTTATTTGTATTTTGATATTTTACTAATTTTTTAAATTAGGAAGAAAAAAAATAGGACCAAGTAAGTATAGCTATATGATTTCTATTAAGTACTTCAAGCTGCATACTTTCAATTTATATTTTTTGAATTCACAATAATGATTGTTGAATTTAAAAATTTTAAAGAATATTTGTCATTTAATTTTTCTGCCAAATTGTAATTTCATATTATGTAATTTTATTTATCAAATATAAAAAAGTTAAAGTAAAAAAATAAATAATATTTTTTAAGTATTTTTTTTTTATCTTTAATATATTTTACAACCTTTTCAGAGCTGAGTGTAATATTGTCTATGATACTTAAAATATAATTCTGATCAAACCTTTATGACAGGACTGCCGTTTGGCGCACCCTCTTCCACCTTGGGGTAGTACGTGCTACAGTCTTTGAAGACAGGCTTGTTGTCGTTGACATCTGTGATGAAAACGACAACCACCGCAGTGCTGGTGTGCGGCGTTTTGTCTCCGTCAATGCAGCAAGAACCGTCATCCACAGCCGTCACATTCAACTCATACCTGAAAAAAAAATTGATTTTTCACCAACATCACAAGTAAGTTTGAATTTTCTCACTTGTCCTTGTCCAAGTTGATGGCCTTGTTGTGCAACCGAATGACACCAGTGATTTCCTCAATTACGAACTGTCCCGAGGTGGTGCCTCCGTTTACGAAACCAAAGCGAACGTTGTCTCCGTCTTTGTCTGAAGCGACCACTGTAGTGACCAGCGTGTTTGGACCAGCGTTTTCGTCCACGTTTGGCGTGTAAACTTGTTGCGAGAATTTTGGTTCTTCGTCGTTTTTATTCTTGGTGTAGATGCGGATGGTGGCGGTTCCAGTCTTTGCTGGCTCACCTAATTAAAAAGTTCAAATGAGGAATTAAAATTTTGTGCAATTTTGAAAACATAAACTGTTACAAAAAATTTAAAAACAAAACTGCGCATTAAATTCAATTATTCAAATTGAATTTGAAATATATAAAAAATTGAATCAAGTATCATTATTTTTCCTTCAAAGTTTTTATAACGAGATGTTAAATATTTTATTTTAAATTAAGTACCCTTGTCCTTAGCTGTGATGGTGAATTCATAGTAGGCATTGTTGTTGTCAGCGTCAAGAGGTTTAGCGTTGGTCACAACGCCACCAGAGTCCACAGCAAAGTGTTCGTCCGAGACTTGATACTCGATTTCAGCGTTGGTGCCAGAATCTGAGTCGGTGGCCTTCACCCTGAGCAGGGAGGTGCCAATGGGAATGTCCTCGTCCACATTGTGGGCTTGGTAGTCTGGCAGCTCAAATTTGGGTGCGTTGTCATTCACATCAGTCACTCGAATTGTAAGCTGTAAATTGGGGAAAAAATGTTGGAATCAAAATGCTTATTCAATAACAAATAATTTAGTTTAAAATATATAATTATATGAAAATAAAACAATATCATTTCTTTCATTTCTACCGTTTTGCATTGATTGAACCTATTTTATTGATTTATTTTAAAAGATTTTTATTTCTTGAGAAAAAAAATATTATTTTTGATTTTTAAGTACCCCTGATACACCTAGGAACTTTAAATTTGGCTTAAATCATAAATATTGAAGTGCAGAGTACAGTATTGGTGCCCCCATGATTTAAATCAAGCTAGAAGTATTTTATTTAATGAATTTTAAGCATTGAAAGCTTCCTTAAATCAACAGACCTCAACAGAAGTTGAAAATCCACCAGAGTCCTCAGTGGCTGTGACGACCAGGGAATAAACATGGGGCTGTCTCAAATCCTCAAAGTCCAACTCTTTAGCTAGTTTGACGATGCCAGAAGTTGGTCCAATGTTGAATGTTCCAGCGCCCTGGCCTTGCGCCTTCAGGGTGTACCTGATTTCCCTGTCAGCAAATGACTTCGCCTTCACCGAGATTATGCTGGAAATAAATAAAAAAAATGGTAGAAATTCCAATTTATTTGAAAATAAAGTGTTAATTACTCTGAATCCTTCTTTTGGTTTTCGGGGATTTCCGCTTCATAGCTTGGCATGTAGAATTGAGGCGCTCGCTTGCCGCCGACGATGGAGAGGCGCTCTTCTTGGGTGGACTGGAAGCGTCTCTCATCAACCCTTCCATTCTGATCCTCAGCCTTGACGTATAGGACATACTCCATGTCCAGTTGGAAGGGTTCATTGGCTCTAGTGCGGACCACGCCTGAACGCTCGTCAACTTCAAATCGACCACCAGCTGCAAACACACGAAGAATAAGAATATGTTGCAAAAGTAATAAATTTCTACATTAAAACTTATATTCAATTCAACTTAATTGATGAAATAGAAACTAAATTTGATTAAAATATTGGAAATGAAATTTATATAAAAAAATTAAATCAGAGGCAAATTGTGGACATCATTTTTAAGTAATTTTATTCAAAGGCGAACTAATTTTTTTCAGTTTCAAGTTTCAATTCTATATATTAAACAATTTTATTATCTACTTAATCTGATAAAATAGTACCATGATTTCAACACTTTGAAAAGAAATTTCATCCTTAAGAAGGTTCATGAGTTTCAAACTTTTTTAATTCATTCATTGAAGAGGCGGGTCTCTTAAGTAGATAATTGATAGATTGATTGATTTGACTCACTTCTGTCACGGACAATGAAGTAGTGGATGTTGTGGTCGGTGTCTGGGTCTCGGGCCTGCAGCGTGAAGACGGGCGTATTGGGCGGCGCGTTGAGCTGCACCACGGCCTGCATCGGCAGGGGCCGGTTGATGAAATACGGGGGCTCGTCGTTGACGTCCTTCACGTGGATGATCACTCGCTGATTGTCGGTGTCTGCAGATTGGCAAAAAAAATTAGCACTTAATGAAACGTCCAGACAAACAAAAGAAGCAAAGACGCAAAGAAAAAAAACCAGACAGAAAAGAATGAGAAATAAATTGACCGGGAGAGTGAAAAAATAATAAAAGAGATAATGTACGACAGACTGGAAAGAATCTGCTCGGCGGTGCATGAGTTGATTTTTTACTCTTGACTTGACACTCAAAGACTTTATCAGTATCATTCAATACTGTCAAGTAGCATTTATAAAATAATAAAATATTTGAACAAATTTGTTAGTATAATTATTAATGAACACAAAAATGAAAATCAAACTAACTAAAGGACATTTTCCAATGCATAGCAAAGTACTTACAGTGCAGTCCTATTTTCCGAAGCAAAAAGAGCAGCAGGGAAATAGAAAGCATAGAGCAAGATTAATTACCAATGTACCATTTTGAAAGTGATATAAACTGGCGGATAAACTAATTGCAACGAAGTTTAATGCTGGTTAATTTGAAATAATTGGCGAACTGAATTTCTATTTTAGATACAAAAAGCTAAATATGATGTAAATTTTAATCAAAATGAACCCTGTCAAATTGCAAAATTTATGACCCTTTGCAGATTAATAGCAATTTTCATAACAATCATGAATCATAAGGTGCCATTAAAATAATGGCAGAATAATTTTCCCTCAAAAACATCGCGCGGTTCACGCTTGGGAGCTGTAAAAGCGTTCTTTATTGCATCCTTCTACACAGAATCCTCTTTTCTTTTTACACGGAACAGGACTTGCTTGCTTATGTCCGCAGCAATAGGTGGCTCTAATTATCGTGGCCGACACACGGAATCGACGCTTGTGTTAAGAGTGCTTGTTTCGCTCTGTAATCATCCTCTCACAAAAGCGCGCTCGACGGGCCGAATCACGAAACGAGAGAGATTCTCTATTGATTTTATACTATGGACCATTCCATCAGCAGACCACTATTCATCAAAGACCGATTTGCTCGCCGGAGCTGTTGGGAAATTTATTGCCTTCACGGGACGAGAAATTGTTTTACTGCTCGACGAGAAGGACAAATCGGTGGTTCATTCATAAGAAAATTTTTTGTCTGTTTGAGTAAAAACATAAATGTAAATAAAATTTGGAGGTTTTAAATTACACAAAAAAATTAAGATAATTTTTTGTAAATGTAATAAATATCTATGAAAAAGGAGCCAATCTGACAACTTTCCTAAGTTAGAAATAAATTGAATAATTTATTTCAAATCATAGATATTTTGTTGCTTTTAATTTGTGGATAATATCCATCTTCAATGAGTTTTTTTTTACAATCACCTCGCATGAATTAAATCGTGATTTATGATTATTTACCACTGTAGAATTTATTTTCATTTTTCCAATCCCCGCGGCTCGTCTTTCGCCAGACGCGACATGACGGATAGCTCGTATTTGAATAAAAAGCCTGCGTGAATTTATTTCCATGTTCGAAACACCAAAACCATACATCACTGGTTATTTACGCTCGAATGGAGAGCCGAAATAAGGGAATTGCCAAATGGAATGAGGCACATAAACATTTCTCGTCATTTGCAAATAATAATGCGTTGGTGGATTTTTCAAACACATCCACACCCAGTCATTCAAAATTGCTGACGACCGGCGAATTAGCAATGCATTTCAGCACTGAAAGTGCCGCTTCCGCAGTTTTGGCATCGCGAACGTCAATTTCCGCCCACATGATTGCGATAATGGGTTGGATTTTATTGATGGGCTGATAATTTGATGCGAAGATGAATTGCATTGATTGAAAGGGACAATAATTGGCACAATTTTGTATGCTCAACTTCAGTAATTTTCCCGATGAATTCAGATTTAGTCAGAATTTTTAAATTCATCAACTTTTATTAAAAGAAATATTAATATTTAGAATGCCACCTTTGTTTTACTTGGCTAAACCTCAACAATCCTCATATTAATTTTAAAAAATTCAGTCTGAATTTTTAAATACTTACAAAAGAAATTACCAAAGTAGTTCTTTTTTTTGTAACTTTAACAATTGAAATATTTTTATAACGGCCTATCTCTATATAAATAATTTGAAGATCTTGAAATGCCTTGTTTTATTTCTTGTTAATCACAGGACAATAAAAAGGCAATAAATTTATAACGCCCTCCTCTTCATTATGTACTTCTAACTATGATTTATCTTCAAACAAGGTCGTTAAAAAGGCAATTTCGCACCCCCGCACCTTACTTGCGTGAAAAATAAACAACACGATTATTTTATTGGCGTATCAAGATGGGAAAATTGGAGGCGACATGCAACAAACTCCCGCCGGGCGATTCGCGACATGTTTGTTGCCACGCAATATTTGTGATGTTGGATTGGACCACCTATAAGCTTTTTCCTTCTCTGTGCGGGGAGAAAGCTGCACTAACATCCGCGATAATCATGCGCCCGGGGTGGTTTTTCCAAAGCGGGACGAGGGGTGGCCGAAGAGCATCCCTGGGGACGGCGGAAAGCTGCTGCAGCGCAATTGAAGTAGTGCGCGCATAAGTGTGCTCTCTCTCCGCACAAAGAGAGAGATGAATTCGCCCCCGATGACTCACCCCCGCCCCACCCCCGTCGTCTGTTCGGACAGAAATATATGCTGCACGCACCTAGATTTTCTCCTAGGTCGGAATCCGTGCATGTCTGCTGGGGTGGCGAAAATGAGAGGCCGGCCAATTATTGATGAGTTGCGATGCGACAAACCACACGCAGACCCTAAAATTAACTATTTAGGCCGCGGGGGTGAATAAACAGGCAGTAAAACTGACTAACTGTTTGCGATCCCTATGCACACTTGCATTTGCAATTATTTATTTATTTTCTCTGCACGCCCGGGAAAAGCAGTACATCGGTTTAATTAAAAATGGCGACGTTTATTGTGCGGGAGGTTTGTAATTAATTCTGGCAGACTCTGTTCATTTCAATGCAATCGCGTTTACAATGGGATTAGGCGGGATTACGGAACTGGACTATACATCTAGGATTTAGATAATGAGCATTGATTGTGAAAATGAATTTGCAACTAGACAAAAACTAGTATTTGAATGAATTTAAACTAGAAAACTTGAAGAATATTCAATTTGTTTCAAGAAATTGACACATGGAAGTGAAATTGATCATAGAAGTGAAGCAGTGAATTTCTTGTCTTACATGAATAATTTTTTATAGAAAATAAATCATGGTATAAATTATTTAACTGTATTACCATTTTTGTATGTTGTACACACTTGTGTCTAATAAATATTTGATGATGAAAATAAAAAATAATTATTAAAATAATTCATAATCTTTAGTCGCATAATTCCTAATTATCACCCTATATTACATGTATCCATCTATTGTTCAATAATTGATAAATTGCAAGAAGCTTAAAGTATTTATTTGTTTTTGTTCCTTTACGTTACAAAGCACCAGAAATTTTCAAACAGAAATATTAATTTTATTATAAATATTACTAAATTAATTAAAATAACTCTTAACGCATAAAAAATAAATATAATAATTAATAAATCCGTCAAATTATTTTTTTAACCTATAATTTAAAAAATGAACTAGATTATTAATAAACAATATTATTTATAAACTATGCATATAAAACTTAATTTTTCATTTGTTTTTCCTGCATACATAGCCAGAAGCTGGGCTTTTTGCTTTTTAGCCTCACTCTCGCTCTCTCCGCATCGGTTGGACGACGAAAAGCCAATGAATAATTCGCGAGCGTGCCAAAATTTCCACTCTCGCGCACAGCTGGCTGCACGCACACGCTTTTGCAAGAACTTTTTGCTCAGCGACAATGTTGCTTTTGCTTTTTTGTTGAGTCCAGTGTGTACAGAATACACCGTACAGAGAGGAATCACTTTTGTGTGCTTTACAACGTTTTAAGAGCGTGTTTTCCGCCCACTCATTTGCATTCAGCTTTCCTCGGAAAATATTGATTCGACAAACATGAAACAGGCGAGTGCTCGTTGGCGGAGCGAAAGAAGAAGCAGCTCAGCGTTGCCGAGGCCAAAAAGTCAAGAAGCTCTTTTTCAGCGGCGTGTGTAAAACTCAAAATATACAGAGATAGGCAAAGTAGGTTTGAATAAATGAAGATCATCTCTAGACAGGAAATTAAACACGAGAGCCTTCGCTTGAAATTCGGGTGAAATTTTTTTAAACTACCCGCACTTGAGCGATCCTGAACAAATATTAAACAGCTGCTGAGAAAAATATTTGCTTAAATTTTTATCCACTAAAAGGTAAACTTCTTTTTCTAAGCTCAAACACGTCTTGGGAGCGAGAAAAAGAAAAATGGAACTTTGGAGAAAAAGTTTCAAGAGACGAGCGATTGGACCGAGAGGGTTGATTGTCTGCTTTTTATCTCCTTTATATTGTGCCGGAGTAAGCAAAAACCCGCGTCGTCACTTCAAGTGCTATTTTTATTTTGCAAGCAGACACAAAGGCGGACAATTTTCTTTGACGCCTTGCGTGTATGAAAATAACCATTTTTTGATAACAAACAACGTGAGAGAGTCAATGATGGCAAACATGCGAATTGTGGAAACGCCCACACGGGTTTTATCTGCGCGATCGTTACCAGCGTTCATTAGTGAAAAACAAGCAACCTGTGATTTATTGAAACGGCCACGCTAATAATCATGCTAGCTGCGAGTAATGCTAATCGGATACGAAAAGAAGGCACAAGACGGCAATTTATCTTCTGGCAAAGAGAGATAAAAATGCCTGGGAAAAAGCACTTGAGGGAAAGGTAAATTATTTTTGCAGACGTTTTGGGTCAGACTTTTCTTAAGCTGCAAATCAAAATTACCAGGACTTTTTTTTAAAAGGTATAATTAACTAAAAATATTATATAAATTTTAAATAACGTTGTATTTTAAAAAAGGCTAAATTAACTGGTTTATAAATCTAAAATTATATTTTCATTATTTGAAGAAATTCTTTTTGTTTTCACTACAT